AAGTGGCAACGTATTTTGTATGAAAATTTACTTTAAAAAGTTCCTGCCATTACAGTTATGTTGATAGACTGTTGGTGTAGACCAGGGGTTGGCAAACTTTTTAGCCCGAGGGTCACATTGGGGTTGCAAAACTGGATAGAGGGTCTGGTAGGGAAGGCTCCCCAAACAGCCTGGCTCTCACCCCCTATCCGCCCCCTCCCACTTCCTGCCCCCTGACTGCCCCCCTCAGAACCCCTGACCCATCCAACCCCCCCTGCTCCTTGTCCCCTAACTGCCATGTCCTGGGACCCCCCCGCCCCTAACCACCCCCTGGGACCCCACCCCTTATCCAACCCTCCTGCTCCCAGTCCCATGACTGCCCAGACCCCATCCACACCTCCGCCCCCTGACAGGTCCCCCTGGGACCCCCCCATTCCCCATCCCCTGACCACGCCACCCCCCCTGAACTTCTGTCCCCTGATCCCTGACTGCCCCCTGGGGCCCCCCGCCCCTTCTACAACCCCCTGGCCCACTTACCACACCGAGCAGAGCATGAAGAGCAGCATGTCTGGTTGCCATGCCGGCCGGAGCCAGACCCGCTGCCGCTCTGCTCAGCAGGAGCGCACAGCTCCGCCACCCAGAGCGGTGCCCACACAGTGGCGTGACTCTGTGGGGGGTAGGGGGGGTAGCGGGGGAGGGGCTGGGAGCTAGTCTCCCCAGCCGGGAGCTCAGGGACCATGCAGGGCGGTCCCGCGGGCGGTAGTTTGCCCACCTCTGGTGTAGACCATCACCAGTGTTACTGATCACATAAGGAATAGTTACAGGTGTTTATATTTTATTAAAACCCCTCTTCACATTACAGTTTAAAAAAAGTTAATACATTGACTTTAAATAGCCTACTACATTACTCTTCATTTTTTTCATTTTTGACTATACTTTTGTATCATTGCATGAAAAGGTTTCAGTGATGCGGCCCTCGGGCCAATGTACTAGTCCTCATGTGGCCCTCGTGGTGATTTGAGTTTGAGATCCCATGTCTACTCACTATAAGGAGACAAAGAGCCATACTGTATTAGTGTGGGTTACAATCATCATTAAGCAGTGGTAAGGTGTGGGGGGCATAGGGAAAACAAGCTTTTCTCCTTGGTACAGAAGATGCAGTTGAGAAGACTGCTAAGATTACCTGTATCTGAGGGGGTGACAGCTACAGCTGGCTGAGGGAACAGCTGTTGCTAGATTCTGCAGAAAGTCTGATTTACTTTGATAGTATGGGAGTGAATGGATTGCAGCTAACTAGTACTCAGGTCACCAGTGTCCTAAGCAGCTGAGGAAAACTCAGGTGGCAGCAGGTTTGAAATAGTAGAGAAAATTCCTTCTGGGGTGATGTTTCTGGAGAAAGGAACCACTGAAGACAGGTTGGCACTTTTCAACACTAAGGCCTGGTCCACACTAACCCCCAACTTCGGACTAAGGTACGTTAATAACATAGCTGAATTCGAAGTACCTTAGTCCGAACTTACCGCGGGTCCAGACGCGGCAGGGAGGCTCCCCCGTCGATGCCGCGTACTCCTCTCGCTGAGCTGGAGTACCGGCGTCGACGGCGAGCACTTCCGGGATCGATCCGGGATCGATTTATCGCGTCTAGACCAGACGCGATAAATCGATCCCAGAACATCGATTGCCTGCCGCCGGACCCGGAGGTAAGTGTAGACGTACCCTAAGGAGGTTAGGCTTGACTAAACCACTTTGGAGCAGAGGGCTCCTTTGCTCCCTGGATAATGAGTCTTATCTATCTAAGCATTTATATTAGGTCATAACTATGGTATCGGCAAGTCTAATAATGCATCATCACAATAAGAAGGCTCACGTATGGTTAAGTAGTCTTCCCAATCCTTCCCCGGTGTCAAAGTCATTGTCTGGCAAGATGGGGTGCATTCTCCTCACCAGGTGCAGCTGCAAGAAGATATTTGGTAGCAGCTGGAGCTATTTCAGTAACTAGCAGCAGTGAGGAGTCAAAAGGGATGCTATGGCTGTGAGCAGACTTGAAAACATGAGGGCAGACTCCCAGAATACTGCCTTCCAAAAGCATTTTTATCCTGAGCTCAAAAGAGGCACAGAGCTCCTCTCAATGGATTTGGTATGACGGCAGGGGAAACAGAGGTATGCTTTTTCTAGCCATGCTTTAAGCTCTTTTGCTTGGTTTACCATATTGTCTTACTAAGGGAACAATGTGCAAGGGAGGGAAGTCACTGCAGTACCTCAAAACTCAAATGGTTGAGGGAAATAAAAATTCAGTAACAAATTAAGCTGAAATATTAATGGTTTCCTCCCCAAAAGAAAAATTTGAAAGTTTTTCTAAAGAAAACATTTTTACTATGAAGCAATTACTTTACTAATGTAAGAGCAACACTCACTTTAGCTTTTTAGTGGAAGGAAGTTAAACCTTGGCCTATGATTGAACAGACTGGTACTGCACGCAAGCTTCAGAGATACTGAAGACTAAGCTGATTACCAGTGGACACTAATATGCAGAATGTTGAGTTTCTAACAGCAGCCACTGTAAAAGTGTCTATCTTGGTCTGCCTTATAAATCAACGAAGAATATTACAGAAAAAAAAGGTTAATTCAGTCAGCGCTGGAAAATTCTCCTTTAAGGTCACCTGCAATTTTTCAAGAATGCGTACAGTAAATACAAAACTAACTCAAAAATGAAATCTTAATTTGGGTAGTAAGACCAACTATACAAATTTCATTAACTCCTACAGACTGAAAAGAAGATTTCACTATTATATTTTAAACAAAAATGACAACATTTACAATAAAATACACATTCTTCAGTTCAGTGATCTCAGTCTCATTACTAATTTTCATCATATACTTCATGAGTTTCAAGTTGACAACGGATGAGTGGCAATCCTAGGGGAAAACACTGAGCTTCAGGTGAATAGTTCAAAGCCTGCTAACACTTCCCTGTTTTGACTGATTCTCTACAGCATTATGCTAACAATATCATAGAACAGAAATTACATTTAAGTTATACATACCACAAAGCCCATGCACATAATACAGAAAGGAATTGTGACTAATTTAAAGTAATTTTTCTTCTTTATTGAGCATTATGGCAAGTTTTCCTGGGGAATTTTATAAAAATTAGGTGGGACCAGGATTTCTTGCAACCAAACCTTTCAATGTAATTAGACTGGTTCTGTGGAGGTTCAGTAGGCCATAAAGGAAATGTCTAACTGCAATTAGACATTCACAGCTGGCCAGTGACAGCTGACTCGAGCTAGGGTTAGGGCTAAAGGGCTATTTAACTGGGGTGTAGATGTTTTGGCAGTATGTTACAATATGTTACAAATACCTAGAAAGATATCAGAGAGCTAGCCACTTGGACAAGAGTTATTGACCCAAAATTTCCAGACTGGTATATCTGAGATATAGAAATATTACAAATAAGTAAAACCTCCATTTTCCTATATATATATAGCATTTGCTTCTTCCTTTTTTCAGTCTATCATATTTGTTACTGAGTTCTCCTGCAGGATACTAACAAATTCATAGCAAGCTCTATTTACTCGTCTCTGACCTTTTCATTTCTGTCATGCAACGCATTTTTGAACTATACAAGAAAGCAGTTAACAAAAGCTGTTGCTTAATCATAACAGCTATATTCAAATACAACTGATCTCATATTCTGTTCAGCAAACTATATGCTCCACTATCTATTCCTATTTGGAATTCCACTTTTAAGAAAGCCAAACTTCCTTCTAGCTCTACACAACAAGAGAAAAAAAAGTGAGATTTAAAACCAACATTAAACATAAAAAAAATGGGATGCCTAGATTCCCAGCAACATAGGAAGAGAATAAAAATGTAATCAATTATATCTTACATAGAAAAGTTTCAACAGAAGGAATATTTATTAGATAAGCTTAACTTAGTGTTTTATGAACTTTCATAAACAATTTATTTAAAAAGGTAAACAGCTGTATAATTATTACATCTTTATAGTACAACCTCAGCAAATCCATTAGACATTAAAACCCATGAAGCCTTCATAATTGAATCAATTATAAAATTGTTTTTAGTATTAAACCAATAAAATTACTATCTTCCACAGAATCTTAATTGCAATATTTCACATAGAAATGTGAGACTTAAAACTAAAAGGCTGTAGAAGGGAAGCAGTTCTAGCAGATAACTCATGATAATTAAGATGTATGAAGGCAATAATATATTCTTGTAAAGTAGAAAGTTATCTAAACTAGGAACAACTTGGAGAAAAAGGTAAGTTTATATATAAATCTTTTAAATGGTTAAATCTGTATTAGGAACTAATGTCTTTAATAAATTGTATTTTTCAAAACTAAACCATTATAGATAAAGGATGACATTAAAACAGTCTGAAGACAGACAGTGAAAATCCAGTTTTATCTCATCTCTACTCCAAATAAAATTAGTGATTTTTACAGTAGTTAAAGATTCCTAGAGAACTGAAGTTCATAATACAAATACTGATTGACACTATTTATACCAAAGTCTGGTATAACTGTTCTATGTATATTATAAGTACACCTCTACCCCGATATTACGCGACCCAATATAACACGAATTCGGATATAACGCGATAAAGCAGCGCTCCGGGGGGGCGAGGCTGTGTGCTCCGGCAGATCAAAGCAAGTTCGATATAATGCAGTTTCGCCTATAATGTGGTAAGATTTTTTGGCTCCCGAGGACAGCATTATATCAGGGTACAGGTGTACAATAAAATAGAATGACATACCATTTCACAATAGAAAAATAAAATGTATCTAAAGGATTTTGAATAATATTATTTTTCTTTTTCCATACTCAGTATTAAAGTGATGATATTCTCAAACTAAAGCAAGACCTGTGGTCCCCTCCACAGTGTCACAAATGATACTTGTGAACAACTAATAATTAGATAAAGGATACAGAGGAAAATACACTACCCTGTGCAACCAGCTGCTTGTGGAAAGCATTTTGTGCATGAGTGAATCAGACTGTCAGTGCTAAATCCGAGTTGACAAGAGCAGCTGAGTCACAGGAAACAGCTTCTCCAATATTTAAGTTACATGGTGCTATTGCTTTCCTACGTAAGTAAAAACCAGGACTAGTTAATATGAGTTTTAAACGTTATATAGACATTGCTTAATATTATACATAATGTATTTTCTGTATGTTTTCTAAATTATAGTTTATTTTATATTATCTATTTATTTATATACTCAAAAGCGTCTACAGCACTTGATATCATTTTTCAAGCACTGCCTTAACATATTTAAGAGAATTATCATCCTGGGCCTTGCTTCGGAGTTAGCAACAAAAGTCTAAGTGACATTCTAATTATTTTTCTAGTCTCAGCTTCTAAAGAGGTGCCTCTGAGAAACATAGAAAGTATGAAGGCATAGTGGGTGAAATGACCAACTCACGGGCTACAGCTGCACTTGGAGCTGGTGATAAGATTCCCAGCTCAAGTAGACATATCTGAGTTAGCTTGATGAGAGCTAGCATAAGTATGTTTACTCAGGGCTGGTGCAGGGAAGTTCCACACCCTAGGCGAAACTTCCACCTTGCAACCCACCACCCCAGCCCTGCAGCAGCTCCCCCCCCCCCAGCCTGAGGCGCCCCCCCCCCGCAGCAGCTCCTTTCCCCCCCTGAGGTG